AATTGAATGCAAACACAGTAAAAGAAACTGCTGAAAAAGGTATTGAAATGTCAATGAAGTATGATTGTAAACAGTATTCAGATGTGAAAAAACACATATCTAAACAATGCTGTGCCAACTGAGAAAGTGAGGATTGAGCATGAAAATCAGGGAGCTAGCTGCACCAATATAGGTGGTGCAAAAGTGGCGTGAAATTTGTGGAGTATATAGACTCGTGTAGTGAGCATTAAAATTTCTAGCAATGCTTAAGGGATGGAAAGAAGATTGAGATAGCTTTGTGCGAGAAGAAGTACAACCGTATCTGAACCATACTTACAGGTTGCTCAATGAGGTTGAGGTTCTAGACTGCAGTGGCCTGGTACAATATGTATTATGTGATATACAAACATATTTGTTATTTATTATAAATGATTTATTTAGAGTATATTATTATTTTACGGTATGTACAATAATATAAGTATATGATTTTGGTGTGATTAATCACTTTTGCATTGTTAACGTTTCCTTTTTTTCTATTAGGAAAGAGTTTTCTATGATCCTGCACAACGTGAAGGAGGAATTGTTTCTGTTCTTTATAAGTTATGATGGCATTATACTCCTCAATAATGGCTACACAAGGTTCAGCATTGTAATTTACCATATTCAAGTGTTGAACTATCTGCAGTGCCTCCTGTAGCCTTCTCTGAGCTCCCATGATTTGGGGTCATAACCCAGAAATCCTGATGGAATTTTAATGCACCTAAAGAAGACTGTTGTGTTATTTTTGAAGAAATCTTCAATTAACCCATCCTCAGAACGTTCTGCTATTCAGCTGTATGTACTTTGGAAGTTCATCAATGCCTTTCTTTTTATTTAGTGTCTTTACCTTTGTTCATTTTGTCTCTGTGGATGCAGCTGAATCAAACAATGCTGAAACAGTGAGTACCTCATTGAGATATCATAGATGTCCAGCAAACTTGTGACAGGCAGATTTTTAAAGAGCAGAATTAACCTTCTTTTTCTTAACAAGATATTGCAAGACATTAAGATCACCACAAGGAGCAGAATTGCCATCAGGAGCAGGGAACCATACCCTAAGATACACTCGAATGATAAAGCCAATGAGCTTAAACTGTCCCCAAAATATCTAGATTATAAGGATATATAATGCCTTGGCCATCCATCATGCATGATGTAGTGCTCCAGATACTACAAATCATACTCCACAAGGAAGGATGCCACCAAGAAAGGTCATGGACTAGTTCAAGAAGCTCTCGATAATCATCTCTAGGTTGGCTGATCTGAAGTTGTCTCATAGCAAACTCAATGACACTGTCTTTACCTTCTTCTTATGGCTTACACTACTTCATCATTATCAGCTGAAGTTTCATAACCAAAATGATTCATGCATGCTCAGTATTGCTGGAATCAATTGAAAATTGCAGTATCTGGACCAGAAGAAAGCCCCACAAAGTCTTTGAAAAAACATGGCAGGATAAGTTCTAAGACATGATACAGAGTATTTCAGAAGTAAAAACTGACAGCATGGATTATCTATATTATATTCAATTACATTATATTATATATATCTCAGAGTATTCCACATTATTCAGATTGTTCAAGAACATTCCATAATAATATGCTAGAACATTTCATAATAACCTAGAACCTTTCAGAATTATTTAGATTACTCTGGAACATTCTAGAATGTAATAATCATGTATAATCAGGGGTGTTGAGAGCTTGCCCAGGCCCTGGGATCAGTAATACTATTGGGCCCTCCTTTCATTCTATTTATTAACTTATGCTGATTTTTAATACAAATTCAGGTGATAAATTTCTTCATGAATCCATTAAAAAGCAGTAACCATTTTAGCTCATTAAATAGTATGTACTTCTAGTGAGCTTTGGAATATCCCACTGCCAGGCCCCTCAACAGACCCTGGGGGTGAGAACATTGTAAATTAAAACTCCAAAAGTGTAGTATTTGTCATTAATTTTCCATAACTGAGGAATATAAATCACATGTTTTCCACAGTTTTCAAGTCTGAATTTATATTTATGCATTTCCCATGACCTTCTAGGTTTTTAAGCTGCTGTTCAAACCCTGAAATTAACTCTTTATTATAGCAATAGAACAAAGAACAATAACAGTTAATAGTTCAAATTTTAGATGATGAATGTTGAGTGATTTATTAATGTAGAACTTAATCAATTGTAGCACTGTTCACTACCATTAAATGTTTTGAGGAGGGCTCAGTCATCATACTCACATAGCAGTACAAATTTTTGAAAAATGTCTACAGATGTCTTTTAAAGTTAAGAATACAAGAGGAACCAGTTCTTACACGATTAAATGGTCCTGCTTTCAATGGCCCCATGTATGGTCAAAAGTGGACCATTTATATTCATGTAAAAAACAACATCACAACCAAGTGTCAAATCACTTCACCACCATTACTGCCACAGATGTAATCATAATATTGAACAGTACTAGGAAGGAATGCATTCTCCACAATAAGGAATCACTCAACATTCATCAACAAAATCTGAACAATGCTCTAATTAGACTTCTTTTCTATAATTGTGCCTTAGTCTGCTGCTATCATACAAATTGGGCATTTTAAAACTTATAAATAGTAGAATATGCAACTGTATCAGGTTGCATGTGCAACTAAAATACACAAAGCAAAAACACTAAACAAATAATTTTTATGACTGTTCAATGTACTCTTTTAAGCATGTTTTACTTAGAAGCTGATTCAAGGTTATGCCTTGGCTACACCTACAACCTAGAGCAGGCATGGGACCTATAAAAACACCCAGATTTAACTGGGGTTAAAGGTGGGAGATGGAAGGAAACGAAAAATGAAGAAATGGAAAAATCTGTCCCACAAGCCACCAAAAAGGAGGGTAGGAAAAATCAATGCAGAACATAAAGAGACGTGTTTCTCTAACATCATGAATGTCTCAACCATTAAGGGTATTCACACACACAACAGCTAACTTCACGTTTTCTAACTTTTGTCTGACTGAACTTCCCTTTCACTTGACTTTACTTTTACTCTGCTCCCACTCATTTGGTCGCTGCTATTTATATGTTTATCACTGAGGCCTCTAGAAATTTCTATAGCTTCGACATCAATGAATTGCAAATGCAACATACAACTCTTACTGAGTTATATAACCAAACTTGTCATAACTATTGCCTTTAAAATAATTACTTTTAACTCTGTTGTTATGAAAAAACTAAACAATCATGAAATATTAACTCACAAAAGAAATTAAATAATAACGCCTACAGCAAACAGTCTTGTATATTCAACAGTGTCACACGTATAAAAAAGTAGGCCTCAATTTCATTAACAGTCGACAGCAAAAGAAAAAAAGACTCAGGTTAGTACTAAAATTCTTGGTTTTTCATCATGTGTATTCTTTGTTCAATATTATAAATGTAACTTAAATGTAAGGATTAGAAACTTATTACATTAGGTAAGGTTAGATTAGGTAAGATAAAAAATAATATGCCCACAAGCAGCTCGTACATTACTTAATTCGATACAATAACGTGAGTTAAACATTCACCAACTTGTCAATAAAACAATAAAATCTAAGTTGATATAGATGTATACCATTATAAGCTTTAAGATATTTAGAAGAAACAACTAGATTTCTGTTACAGTTTGCAGTCATTCTAGAAAGAAAATAGGGTAATTTATATATATTTGGGTTTTTATTATGGTGGTTATGAGGTCAGTAAAATTGACCAACCCTATAGAGAGTTAAAGTAGAGGAAATAACAGATAATTATCAATTTTACTGAAAAAAAATTTGGTGTTTATTTAGGAGAATTTAGAGGTCACACAAATAATATCTTACATTTTCAGATGAAAGAAAACATTTTAATAATAACATAAAAATCACCTTGTATTTGGAGCAGTCAACACGTTGACTCTATATACAGGGTGTCCATAAAGTCTTTTTACAATTTGAAAAATTTATTACAAAGGCAATGGATAAGATATCTTTATCAGACTTGTTCTATTGTACTCAGTAGTTTTCAAAGTTTTTTTTTACCTCATTTAATACACCTCTATATGGGCACCATTAGTTGCACGAAGCACATCAAGACAGTACTAGATTTCTTGCCATGTTCGCTGTAGCATAGCCTCATCAATGGTTGCAATCGCATCTGTTATCTTTTGCTTTAGTTCAGTAATGTCCCGTATCTTTGTTCGATACACGATATCTTTAACATAGCCCCATAGAAAGAAATCCAGAGGTGTGATATCTGGTAAATGTGGTAGCCACGGAATTGGTCCATCCCTTCCAATCCAACGGTCTGGAAATGTTTGATTGAGGAACTCACAAACATGCAGTCCCCAATGTGGCGGGGGACCATCTTGCTGGAAAATGATGGTCGGTTGAAGGTCCTGGAGTTGTGGTGCCACATATTCAGTCAAAAAGTCAAGGTAGACATTTGCAGTAATTGATCTCTTGTTGAAGTAAAATGGACCAATAATTCGATTGCACATAGTCCCACACCAGACATTCACTTTGGTTTTTGATTAAAAACTTTGAAAACCACTGAGTACAATAGAACAAGTCTGATTAAGATATCTTATCAATTGCGTTTGTAATAAATTTTTTAAATTGTAAAAAGACTTTATAGACACCCTGTATATTCATTGAAAAATTTTTAGTAAAAATAATTTAAAATTATCATATTTGTGTATGAAAGATTTGTAATGCTTACTAAAAACATGTGAAATTTCATAAAGATACACAAAGCATATTAAAAGTCATAGCATGGAAACTATGATGGTCTTTGGAGTCACCAACTTGATCAAACTGACCAAGCCTGTAGTGAGAGAATTCATGAAGCAAAAAAAAAAAATGTATTCCATTATTTTTCAAAGAAGTAAATTTCTAAATAAATTAAAAGAAACCAGGTTAAAAATACAATTTGAAGACCAACAAGAAAATGTTTTATACATGTATGAAAATAAAAAAAAAGTTACCTTTAGCATCTGGTTTTTGTCCCTGTTGATGACAATAATTTTTGATTTTTTGTTAAGAACTCTTCCATAAGACAAACGGAAATCACAAACAGCTCCTAAAATATATATAAAAAAAGCAGCATTGCTAAAGGAATATACAAAAACTGGGTTTAGAATATTCCACTTCTGATATATAATACTCCTTATGTTTTGAAATAACTTGACATTTGAGCTTATCTGTGTTATAATTATGTAGGAATCATTTTAGGATGAAACTTTTTTTCTATAAGAATCTTTTCTTTAGGTATTCACCCTCTTGTATAACAATATTTTGTCATTGTGAGAACATTTTGTGGATGAGTCTTTAAACCATTTCCATCATTTCTCATTCATTGGCAAAACAATGGATAATGCACAGTTTAAACTGAAAGTATGATCTACTAAGAATGATAAACTTGTATTATAACAATCTGTACACTCATATAATAAAAGCACATTTCATCTTTCAACTTAAATTGTACTTTATATAAAATTTAATTACTTAAAAGAAATGAGTAAATTATTTTAGTTTTGTTAAAAATATTGATATTTCACATGACAAGCATAACTTGTGCTTCCATTATCAAAGCCTTAATTCAATGTTATTTAAAGTTAAGCACCCAAATATTTATTTTTAGCATGAATTTAAACATAGTACAAGCACAGCTTGTGTGTATTGCATCAAAATATACGGTGCATTCTTGCGAATTAGTTATGAACTTTTGACAAATAGATACAAGTTAAAATTTTCCTATACTGAAAATGTATTTTCAATAGGTACATACCCCCACTCACATAAATAGCTATTCTCGTTCATGTGAGATGCAGTGAACCACATTGATCTTGGGGTACACGGGAACTCATCATGCGGCCACCCTCCACCAATAGGAGTGCGACACTCTCTTGATGCATGTGACTCCCTCTATTCTACTGAACTATCACTTTTCAGTGGGAAGTGTAAGTACATACTGAAAATGCATTTTCAGTATAGGAAAATAATAACTTCCAATAAGGTACATTACCTCCACTCACATACATTTCTGGAATCCCACATCGAATAGGTGAAGGGACTGGTGCAAGGGAAAGATATAAGCATCCTTCAAAAGTATCCAAAGCACCCACTAAAAGAGTAGATCTTCACAGTAGAGGATCATACAGGGGAAACTGCACTACTTCTGTACAAGGTAAACTCTTTGCCCAATGTGGAAAGAGGTGTTGCAAACATGAGTGGAAATTTGGAGGAACACATCAAAGAGGGAGAGAACAATGGTTACATAGGGATATAAACCACACAATATTGGAATCTCAATCCCATAGAGAACATCAATGTGGGTGAGAGTAAAAGGATGTGCCTCTAGGTGTAGAGTAGCTAGGGTGTGACAGACCATACATGGCAAGTTAACTACAATCCAAAAACCAGCCACCTGGAACTGACATCCATATGGGGGTAGGAAAAAGGATCATACTGGCAGTAAGTCAAATACAATCCAAAACCCAGCCACATGGTTGGGGTAGGAAAGAGGATCATACCATCGTCACCTCAAATTCAGCAGACCATAAAGAATATCTTACTCCCCGATCTATGAATGGGACACATGATAGCAATGTGATAAATTGTTTTCATGATCTGGAAACCCTAAATCTGGATGATCAACATAGTAAAGATGTCTCTGTAATGTCAACTATCTTACTCAAAACAATCCGACAGGAACTGCCCCCAGTGCTATAACACCCTCGGTACATGAAAATCATCGAGGGGTAGCATAAGAGGAAGAACCATTTTAATCTGAAAGTTCCACCACCGTAACCCACAACACGGGTGGAGGAAACAACAGCATAACTGAGTGAGGAAACATAGACACCTATAATACATGTGTACGAAATTATGTTGATTGGCTCAGCTCTGAGTCCAAAACCCAACCACTGGGAACTAACATCCATGTGGGGGTAGTATGAGGGATCCCAATCGAAGGGGTGAACTACAATTTTGACTGTTCACTCCAAAGCTGCAGCATCCCCTTAGATAAACCCAGATGGAGCATCAGATTAGAGGACATCTTTTTATCTACACCAGAAAAACACCACCACCCTACTCTCAAATGAATTGTTTTATCATTATCTGTATTGCATATCATTATCACAATCAGGAGGATGCCTGCATGGTCCACCACCCCAGCAGCTTGTAAATGGAAAATGGTTAGGACTCCCATACTCCACTGGAAGAAAGTGGGAGGGGGGAAATGCAGTGGAAAGTCTGGAGAAATGTCAACATCGGAGACAGAGCAATGGGTGACCATGAAAACCCTATTTTGAAAAGCAGACCACACCTGATTTATTCAACTGAAGGCAACGGATGCAGGGATGAGCAACTAACCCCTTCTGTTTTACCCATGAAATCCATTGGTGAGTACAGTCCGGAATGGGCATATTAATGAAGCAAATATATTGCGAGAAAAACCTATGTGTGATCTTGTGGAACACACCATCTCAACAGTGTACATTTAGTAGCCATGATAATTATAATTGTTATGCCATCATGGCCTTAGAGTGCAGATTTGACTAGTTTAAGTATACCTGGACAGGCATCACTGCTACAGAGTGGGATCCATAAAGAAAAAAGGGACATGTCCCTGAAGAATAAAAGGTATAAATACAAAAAGGTATCTTACCTAGTCACAGTCTCACCAAAGAGTGAAGGATGGTGACAGGTGGAAGACGATATCTCAATGAGGAACAATTAGCTACCCAAAGCAGATAATGGGAGATAAACGTATGAGGTGTAGTCCCAGTGCTTGTCAGAAGAAGTAACCTAACATATAACACGCAGGTTAAGAAAGAAGGTGCCTAATCAGAATGAAGACAACAAGATTTGATTACGGGGAAAAAATGAGACAATGAAGAAAATGCCCAATCCAATCAAAAGCTGAATCCAAAGGGTAAGGGAGGAAAGAGAAAGTCACAAACAGAAAATTGGTGCCAGGGAATGAAACAAAAGGAAAAAGAAAGAAGCCTTGAGGGCAATGAAGCAACCCAGAGCAGGCGTGGGACCTATAAGACCAACCAGATCTAAAGCCACCAAAGATGATGGTAGGAAAAATCAATGCAGAACAAAAAGGACAGATTGAGCTGAAGTAGCTGAGAAAAATCAGATCTGTGTAAGCCAGGAAGGAGCAGTCAGAAAGACTTCACACAGAATGGCAGGGATGAATGAAATCACCCAGGAAAGATGACAAATGAGATGAGAAAAGAAAGGTATAAACAGGTCCCAATCCTGTCTGAATGCATCGACATCCAAGGCAGGTGGCTGAGGAACTGGAGACAAAGACATACAGATCTGAAACAAGCTCAAAGGGCAAGACACAAAACTAGTACCCAACCCCATGGTGAACAAATTTAAAACAGCACCACGAGGAATCAAAAATAGGAACATGGGCATAATAGTACAAAATCTAGATGGTGGACATCCTCAGTCCTGGAGAAAGGCCCACCATAGTGTGATAAAAGACAATATAAAATAAAAGGGAAAGAACCAAGAAGTGATTGAGGTGGGACAAATAATAATCACAGAACTCTAATCTGTATCAAGAATACATGGCTAATGGTGGAATGCTTAGATGTAGGACAGGTAAATGACAGGAAAGTGCAAGACATTGGAACATGAATAAAGAATACAATGGCCAAAGAGACAAATGAGCAACCAAAAAAGAAAAATCCATTGTAGCAATACAAATACCTCATGTGATGCTAAAGTCACAGGAATAACACACCCACCCCAAAATACGAACCAGTGGAGGAAAAGGGCCGTTCATAAGTCCCAATTAGAAATGAAAGGGAAACAAATTCGGTACAAGACAGTGTCCCACCCCTGAATATCTCAAAAGCAAAGAAGCCACATTTGTAGGGAAAGAGCCAAAATGGCAATCGCCCTAACATAGAGGTAAGTATCACAGAAAAATCCCCAAGAAATAGATACAATACCTCAAAATGGAGGTGTATGGCAGCCAATACCAGTAGTAAAATCGATTGGGGGAAACGAAAGCTGGAAAACTTGGCTACGGAGAAGGGGATAGGATTAACAGAAAACAATTTGCTTGATGGTAAGCTAAGGCAAAATGAGCCAAAGCCCATAGAGGGCACAGCATGCCAGCAGCATCTCTCAAAAGAGAGACATAAAGGCCCAGAATGAACCAAAATGTCTGGAAAAAGGAGAAAATAACAACTGTGAATCGTGTATAAAAAGGGTTGAGGTAGGATTAGCAGGCTCTGCAGTAGAGGCCTGGAAAGGCCAATAAAGAATCAGGTGGAAGAAAATTGTCAAAATAGATGTCATTCCGAATGAATTCAGCAGTTTGAGGAGGAAAGCGAGCAATAGTGGGAGAATTTTGGGCAGACCATGAACTCAGAGAGCCTCAAAAACGAAATTAATTGTAAGAAGTACAAAATAATTATGAAAATGGAAAAATCGTTATATTGTAAAATGAAGTATGTGTATATTGAAAATAAAATTTAGTAGATGGTATTTGTTGAAGAAACAATATATTTAACCTAATTTATGATTTACCAGTAAGATAAATGACAGGTGAGCCTAAAATTACAAAGAAACATGGTAAGCTTAAACTAATATTGTAGTACAAAAGAACCTCACTAAACATTAATTAAAAAACCCTAACCTTAAAAGAAGTAGGTATACTAATCTAACTAAATGTATGTTATTGAAACCATATAACTACAAATAATAATATTGTTATATCTCTGGTCGTTGGTTAATTTTCTATAGAAATTCTTTCCGAAAAACTTCAGAGATACAAGTCCTTTCTTAACCCGATGACTACCGGCTACTAACTTTCTTAGTAGGCAATGCAAGTCTTGCTATATTTCATTCCAACAATAAAACTAGTGGACAAATATTTTCGAAAATTCATAAATACTTTGACAAATGTAGGTAGTTTAAGAAACATAAAGCCTATTACTTTTAATAAATTGTTTTTTTTTGCATCATGATCTTTAATATCTTGGAAAATT